AAGCCCTTGCTCCCCTCTCGACCATGGATGTGCTTTATCCAACATGCTTCTCCTCCCAGTGTGGCCTGGACTCCAGGCCTTACTTATGACCCTATCCTCCCCACTTATATTTGAGATTTTCCCCACTTCCATTTAAGAGTAAGCCTGAGTGGGCCGTTCGTCACATAAAAAGCCAAAGAAAGTCTCAGCATTCTCAGAAAAGTTTTCTCTTTCCATAATAATCAAGGAATGTCAGTTCTCTGGCATAAAAGAAAAAATTCAACCAAAAAAAATTTTTTTTCCATTCACGTTTGAGACCTCAAGGTTTTGAAGGTGCATCCCACTGTAATGCCATGTTTGACAGCTGGGTAGGAAGGCAGACCTCAGGCTGTGACCTCTGCGGCCGACACTGACTACGGCCTCCCGACCGTCTGCTCTTGGCCAGGCACTGCCGTGTGACTTGCGCTTTGCCCACAGGGCCTCCTTCAAGCCCTTGCTCCCCTCTCGACCATGGATGTGCTTTATCCAACATGCTTCTCCTCCCAGTGTGGCCTGGACTCCAGGCCTTACTTATGACCCTATCCTCCCCACTTATATTTGAGATTTTCCCCACTTCCATTTTGTCTCAGGAAAAATATTTACATATGTATCCTTCAAAATCTGGGCTTGTCTTACCTCTTTCCAGAAACCATGTGGCTGTAACCTGTCTCTCTACAGACCTGACTCCAAACCCCCCTACCTTGGTCGCTGATGGCTTTTCTATTTCCTTTGGAATAATGCTGCCTTGGTGATGCTGGCCTCAAGGGATAGGGTCAGCAAGAACACCGGGCTTCTCCACACCTCATCATCCCTTAATTTCCTACATTATTATTAGCATGAGCTACTACATGAACAGACTGTAGTGAATATCAGGGGACAATTAGAATAGATTTACAGCTGGATACCAAAATATAAGAATTGAAGGGAAAGGGGATTTTAAACACATGATAAGAGTTTCCTTGTGGACAAACTGCAATTCCTAGCCTGCCTTCTGTCCATTGAAGTCTTCAAAGAGGGAGCCCTCCGTGATCCTTCCCCATATGAATAAGAACCCTCCACTCCATAGATTAATTGTATTTATCCTAGAATGTGTCTTAACCACACCCACATTATTCCCCAACACACACACACGCACACACATTCACACAGCCTACAGCCTACACGGCCTGTAGCAGCACGCTGAGAATATCACCCGCACTGCGGAGCAGGGGACACGGGGACAGTTTGGGACAGGTTCCAGGGCTCCATATCCTGTCTATTTCAGGGTTACTCTGCAAGTATAAGGTGAAGCTATACCTCTTTATTCTCCATCCCTACTTCTGTTTCTGTATGAGTCACCTGTTTATTTATTTTTATTGAGGTATATAGTTTGTGGGCAATATTATATAGGTTTCACGTGTATAACAGTGATTCATAACTTTTTTAATATCTGGGTCACTTTTAAAATATGCACACATTCTCAAGAAGAAACACAAAGTCACTTTCCTAAAAGTCTCTTTCCCACCTAAGCTGCAAAATTTTCCCAACTCCAAGAGAAAAACACCCTTTTATACAATTATACAGAGGAATTATAGACCACTTTAGCCCAACCTCCTTGTTGCAGTCCATACCTTCTTCCCCACAACAGTCAGGCTATGTGGCTTATTCACATAGCCTATCAGTGGCACCACAAAAATGGGATAAAACCAGTCCTGTGCTTTTTCTATTTGGTTATGATTTTATTCTCTCCCAAACACTGAGAGGTGGATGGAACGGATAAGGCATATTACTAGTTATCTTTCAATACCCATCCTTTCCTTCCATAGTGGTAGAGCTTTAGCTTGACACTTGGCTACTTAGCTAAAGACCACTGCCTCCCCCAGCCATTCCTGAAGCTAGAAGCAGCCACGTGACCTCTGGTTCTGGCCAATGGAAAGTGAGATGTGCTTCATGCCATTTTTCTGAGTTTGCCCTAAAAAAGATCGAGTGTGTGTTTCTGACCCTTTTCTTCCTTCCTGCTGGCTATAACATGGCCGGAAACAGAGCAACACCGTGAATCCAGAGAGGGACTACCTATCTCTGGGCTTCTACAGAGAAAGAGATAAGCATCTACTTGAAGCCAGCGTACTTTGCGTAGTGCTTAGTTGAGTACAGAGGCCATCCTCACAGAGGCCAAGTTCCTGGAAGGAAACATAGTCAGTGAGGAATGGGGTTGAGCCTCAGGCTGAGTGCTCTGACCATGCAGCTCTCCTCGTCCATCTTCAAGATGTCTTTACGAAAACCTGAACACTTGATAACAGAGATATCATAGTATGAAATGTGACATTTTATTGCATGTCTTTCTGTGGTTTCCTTGTTTAGAATATAGTAGTTACTAATTTTACCTCTCTGTTAAGATAATGCTGTCTGCCAATGGTCATCAATCTCTACCACAATAGCAGCCTTCACTTTGCTTGGGATCTTAAGAGCATGACACATTTTCTGGAAGCAGAGATTTCTTTCTCTGTAGTAGGTTCAGAAGGAAATATACAATCTTGGAACTTAAAGGCAGAAATCTTAGAACCAACAAGGATAAAAGAGGCTTTGCAAATAAGTAGAGGCTTGGAGGGTCCAGATAATGAGAGCTAATTCCTGTTGACTTGGTGACTGTAACTCCCTTGCTCAGTCCTTCTCCAATAGTCCTGCTAAGCCCCACAGGTGAATAAGAGTGAAATGACCTCATCATTGCCAACAATAACAACAAAAAGGGCTGGGTGGCAGAAATTTAATTTTAACTCACCAGTCCTCACCTTCACCAGGAAGAAGAAATCATCATTTGACAACTTACACTAACTCCATACAAAGAATGGATGTTATTAATCCTATTTTTGGATTTGCTTTAATAACAAATAGTAGCAAACTCATTAAGCATTTATTATGTTCCAACTCCATTCTATGTATTTACATGTTGACTTCTAATTCTTTTAATTGTATGAAGTAGGTACAATTGTTTTTTTCCACGTTACAGGCAAGGAAACCAAAGACACAAATATATTTGACATGCTTGTTAGTAAATCAAGTATACTTTAGCAGGTATAAAAAACGCTGTCTTCTAGAAATCTTTTTACTAGTGATGTATTGAATGATAGTTGTTGCTGAAGTGTGAGCATTCACATTTCACTCATCATTTCCCTCCCACTTGAAATTGCACTCCAAGGAAACTAACCTGCTTCCTCAGCAGGTGAAAACAAATTATCCAATTCTTCTGGGCTTGTACCCAAAAGTCAGATTATTCTCAGTTGAATCAAGTTCAAGAACATGGTATCTTCATATTTAAGGAACACATCTCTATACTGAAATTTTTCATCATGTTGATCATCTGTGTACTATCTCTCCACATTTTTTTTTCCTTAGAAACATCTGTGTAAACGTGTATTACCATATAAATGTCCATAAGAAGTGGAATACTAATATTGATGTTTGCTCTAGAAAAAAAAAAATGCTTATCTTTCAAAATCTGCACTTAATGAGAATCAATAGTTAACAAAGAACCCACACAAAGCACATTGGATTTTGACTATTTTAGTTATGAGCCAGATCTTCCAGTGGAATTTATTTATTTATAACTCGCTGTTTTCTTTGAATAACTGAAGATTTTTATAAGCTTTTAGCCTCAAGACAATACTACCATGTTGTATTGTCACATTGTTTTACAGTATCCAACTCTGCCACGCAAATGTTGAAATAGTTTTGTTGCTTGCCAATTCAAAGTTGGACAGTTCAAATTACTTTTCTTCTTGAATAACACTCATTTTCCTCTAGGCTATATGTGGCAAAAATTCATAATTTTCTCCATTCTCACCTTTTTTTGGGGGGACAACCAAGTGATTGACTAATAAAAGCAAAACGAACCAAACTTCTTAAACATAGAAGTGGCCATGTGTCCTGATCAATGGGATATTAGTGGATGCCACTGGTTGGGACTTTTAAAAATCCTCTTTAAAAGAAGTATAGATTCAAATAAAGATATTTTTCCATGCCCGTTCCTTCTTCCTTCCGGGACAGTAGAAGGCACACTGTGACTTTGGGTTCATGAGATAACAAGCATCCATTAAGCATAGCTGAATGGAAGCACAGAAGGAACCTAGATTATGCTGGTAGCAGGAAATGACAATACCAGCCCTATACTGTCCAACTCATGTAATGTGAAGAGACTAAAAGCCTTCATTTATTTAAGCTTCTATTTTTCTGGTTTCCAATACTCACAGCCAAGCACAGTTTCTAAATTCTAAGTGATCAGAAAACAGTAGCAGAGGATATGAAGGTTTTCAACATCTTGAAACTAAAAAATTGGGATAGGTCTACCAAGCATGGTTAAACATTCTGTTATACAGTCACTAGGTATTTTCAAACAATATTTGAAATCAAATCATCTGTTGGTGAATCAGATCAATCATTTGAAAATAAGATCCAGTTACTAAGACAAAAATACTTATGCTACCATCCAGTCTTATTTTATTTCAATAAAATAAATTTGGACATAAAAAAGAAGACATGCACTATGATTTTTTTTTCTTTGCAAATTGACAGGAAGTACATAACATTTGGGGGGTTTTGACATGAAGAATTTCTGTGCTCAGGAAGATACATATATGTAATATTGTCATACAAGTGAAGGGATTTTGAGCTTTAATAACAGAGGCAATAGGAGCCTCTAAATTACAGAACTGAAAAAAGTGTGAAAGTACTACCAGTGATGAATTAGTACTACTAATAATGAAAAGTACTACTAATAATGAGTTTTTCCTGTACATATGTATATGTGACAGTAGTGATCATAGGTACTATTTTTTTTTTATTTTATTGAAGTATAGTTGACTTATAGCTACTATTTTAAATGGGCCAATAATGGGCCCAGTTCTATAGTAAATCTTGGGACTTGGAGGCAGGCGTTTTGACTAACTCAAAATCTAGGTTTTATTTCTCTAAGTCATTAGAGCATAAGGATTCTATGCCTGAAGAAGAGAGGCATTCAGTGGATTCCTTGATGTACCTCTAAGTTTGTTTTTCTCTTGTCCCATATCTCTGAGAAAGCCTCCATTCCCAAAGCAAATACAAAGGAGAGATTTGGAGAGGCATTTTATGTGATTAAAACTTCTCTCAGTGCTTGCTCCTCCTAACCACAACTGTCTTTGTTTCCATAGCTGTGCAGTGAGTTCGTACACACTAGTGACTTACACAATACCCATTGTCACCTCACACGTTCAGTAGGTCAGAAGTCCAGGAAGGCACACACTGTGTTATCAGCACAGGCTCCCACAAGGTTAAATTCAAAGTGTCAAGCCAGGTTTTCGTCTGGAGCTTGGGACCGTCTTCTGAGCTCACTGGGATTGTCTGAAAGATCTAGCTCTTGGCAGGGTAGGTCCCCATGACTTGCTGGCTGTCAGCCAAGGTCTTCAGGTTCTAGCCATGTGCCTCCATCTCTCACAACTTGGCAGTTTGCTTGTCGTCAAACCAGCAGGAAAATAGTTTACTAATGCTTAACTTCTTATGAGCAGCTTGTCTGAGGAAGTCAGACCCACTCAGGATAATCTCCCTTGTGATTAACTCAAGGTCAGTTAATAACCTAATCACAGGAGTGATAGCCCGGCATACTCACTGTTTCTACACACACACCAAGGGAGGTCACTCTAGAAGGTAGAAACTCAGGCAGTTTCTAGAAGGTAGAAACAGAGGCAGAAACACAGGGCCATCTCAGAATCCTTTTTATCACAATGACCTAGAGCATGTTGTTGCTTAGAGGTGTGGGTGCAGAGGTTATAATGCTTACTTGCGCTTAGTCACTCAGCTGTGTCTGACCCTTTGTGACCCCATGGACTGTAGACTGCCAGGCCTCTGTCCATGGGATTTTCCTGGCAAAAATACTGGAGTGGGTTGCCATTTCCTACTCCAGGGGATCTTCCCTACCCAGGGACTGAACCCATATCTCTCGTGTTTCCTGATTTGGCAAGTAGATTATTCACCACTAGCGCCACCCGGGGAGGCCCCAATGCTTTCTTGAACTCAGAGGAATGCCTTCTTCTAAAGAGGAAGGTAATGCTTATATTCTTACCTAATTATCTGGAAATGTCATTGTCAGCACTGCACTGTTTTGAAGTTTGGGTATTCAACATGGTAGGATGAATGTTCCTTCAAACTAGAATGAAAGGAGACTGTGTTCCTAGCCCATTCTTTTGTGTACACGCCATAAGCACTGTCCTCTCAGACCTCCACCCACTGGGTTTGGCACCAGGACCATTCTCCTCGGGCCAGGGCTGCTGCTGCTTCTGGAGCCGGCAGCAGTTACAGCGTGGCCCTCATCAGGTGAATTCTTCAGTGTTCCTCTGGACTTGAATTGTGGAAACTTAGAAGTTTTCTTCTGCCTTCCCAGTTATCCCCCAAGCTACCTAATATCCTTTACTAATCTATTTCAGTGAAAACTAGCTTGAGTGAATTGTTATTTGCAAGCAAGAACACTGACCAATAGAGTAATTAATGACAGATGTGATGGTGGACAACAAACCTTTCAGGAAATGAGAATGTGTAGCTGCTTATTCAATGTTGTCAGGTTACAAGGCAAGGAGAATCCAGCCCGTGGCAGCCGTGGTGACAGTTACTTAAATTATCACTTGGTTATATGGAATAAGGGGGCTTCCCTGGTAACTCAGCAGTAAAGAATCTGCCTGCAGTGCAGGAGACTGGGGTTCAATCCCTGGATCGGGAAGTTCCCCTGAAGAGGGGAATGGCAACCCACTCCAGTATTTTTGCCTGGAAAGTCCCATGGACAGAGGAGCCTGGTGGGCAACATGGGATCACAGAAGAGTCAGAAACAACTTAAGACTAAACAACAACAACATATAGAATAAGAAGCCTATCAATACAGGACTTTCAGGGTCCCCATAATTTTGTAAGGGAAGGAAGGCATGTGGAGGAAGACTGACGATCCATCAGGATGCTTCTAAGTATTATGGGAATGAAAAGAAAATGTGATGGTTAATTCTATGTGTCAGCTAGGCTAGGCCATGGTACCCAGATATTTGGTCAATGTGTGTATACATTATATGTATATATACAACACAAATATGCACATACACATCCTATTCTCTGTTTTTCTGGAGAACTCTAATAGAGATAGGCTTTAAGTTTACCATAATGTGGATAAGGTTATGGTGACAGAACTATATATGTCCTGGGATTTCCTTTGTGGTCCAGTGGTTAAGATTCCGAGCTTCCAGTGCAAGGGGCCATGCCATGTGGTATGGACGAAAAGCAAAAGAAAAAAGAAAAGCAGAGCCATATTCCTGCAATAATCATGGAGACTTAAAAGATGCACACACACACACACACACACACACACACACACACAAGATGCACAACTGGTGATTACTGTCACTTCACGTCTAATTTGCCTATCTGACCATTGCAGAAGAGAGGTCTCACAGAACAACAGCGGGTTGTTTTCCATTTAATTGGATTGTCACGTCTGAAGGATGCTATCACTCAGGAGAGAAAATCAGTCCAGACCCCGCATTGTAGCTAGAACGGACCTTTCGATCTGACTAATGTCTGTTCCTCTGTCCCAGTAAACACAGAACACTGGATGCAGATGGTTTCCACCTGGCAGGCACAGACACACACCGTGACTGGCTTCGATGCCAAAGAACAACAGGAACTCACTGACTGCCATAATTCAGCATGCAGAAAATCAGAGTGGTCTGTAAACCGACGATTTTATGCTAATGCAACACAGTGCACAGAAAGAGTAGGTAGCATTGCTGTTTATTTTCTAAGTTGTGTTTGACTCTCCGTGACCCCATGGACTGCAGCATGCCAGGCTTCCCTGTCCTTCACTAACTCCTGGAGTTTGCTCAAGTTCATGTACATTGAGTCAATGATGCTATCTAACCATCTCGTCTTCTGCTGCCCCTTCTCCTTTGCCTTCGATCTTTCCTAGCATCAGGGTCTTTTCCAAAGAGTTGGCTCTTTGCATCAGATGGCCAAAGCATTGGAGCTTCAGCTTCAGCATCAGTCCTCCCAATGAATATTCAGAGTTAATTTCCTTTAGGATTGACTGGTTTGATCTCCTTGCAGTGCAAGGGACTCTCCAGAGTCTTCTCCAGCACCACAATTTGAAGGCAACAATTCCTCGACACTCAACCTTCTTTATGGTCCAATCTCACATCCGTACCCATATACATTCATAAAACATATACATATCAAAAGATGTGTGCTTAGTCGCTCAATCATGTCTGGCTCTCTGTAGCCCAACAGACTGTAGCCCACTAGGCTCCTCTGTCCATGGAATTTCCCAGGCAAGAATACTGGAGTGGGTTGCAATTTCCTTTTCCAGGGATCTTCCTGACTCAGGAATCGAACTTGTGTCTCTTGCATCTCCTGCATTGGCGGGTGGATTCGTTGCCACTAATGCCATCTGGCAAGCTCCATCAAAAGATAAAAGATACGAAAAATACAGAGTCCTGTCAGTTGACTGAAATTTCTGGAGACCAGTGTCTCAAAATGTCTCCTCCAACAGGAAACAAAAGTATTCCAATATGCATCCACTGTCATAAGAAAGGGGAATGATGCTTGCTCAATTTTTGTATTTTGTAGAAATTATATATGATATTTAGCTCTGCTTCTGCAAATAATTAACAGGTCATAGAAAGTCTTCTAGCCTTCAATGTGGCACAAAGCAATACAAGACTCCCTGGAAAATCCAGACTATAGTGCATACCCTCACATTTCAAAGTACAGTATCTTTTTAAGTGAATAACTCTGGCATTCTCCTTCTGGGGAAGTCTCACTTTGCTGCTGGATCCTGGTAGAGACTGAATGTTTGACAGCAGTACACATGTGGCTATGGAAATTGAGCATCCCACCATGAACTATATTTTATCTCAACTACTGAGCTATAAAATCAGATATTCCCTGCAGCATCCATCATCCCCAGGAAATGATTTCTATTTGAATTGGTTCAAGTAGGTCCTAAAAACAGAAGTTTCAAAGGCAGATGACTCATTCTCTGAGTATGTTTACTCCTGCTATGCTGCCTTTGTTCTCTCAAACCACACTGCTATCCTCATTAAGAGAACTCTAAGAGCAGGTGACTGAGAAAACAAAAAAAATATTCCAATTTACTGTTGTCCCCACTGGAAATGACAATACTAAACAGCACCCTATAGGGATCTCTATTGTATAAAAGTATTCATTTTGTCCACATTACACAGTGGTATTTATTTGTCCCCTTTAATACAGCTCAATCACCCCACCTATAGAAGTGGAGCACTTCATCATGTCAACCCCACTCTGGGGTGACCTGATTGCTCACATAGAAAAATAAATATTCCCAATGAGCAGAACTTCAAACAGGGCATCTCATGATCCATTTATCTGGAAAGCAGGATAAGCTACAGATCTATATTAAATTATAGGCAATACCTAATAATTTCACTGGATAGTCAGGGACTTGGGAGGGATAAGATTGGAGAGGTGGTGATAAGGAAGATTATAGCAAAGATCAATCTAGACTTTTAAACTCTTCTAGAGTTTGAGAAAATTTATGTGAATATGCAAAAAGACTGACTCTATAATGGAGCTTTCAGTGGATGACTGAACAAGGTGCCCTGCCGTGTGGATTTGTTAACCTCTTTCCACAGTGACCCAGTAATTATTAAATGGTCTCATGAAAAAAATGTGGTCATGGGTTCATATAGAGTTGATGCATGGGCTTAACAACTTAGACTTCTCTTCCCCCAGGTATCTGGATATTACTTCTGCTGAATGCTCAGTTTGAAAGCAACAGTGAACAAACATGAGTCCTGCCATATGATACCATACCCCAAAAGGAATAACCAGCCACCTGATGGCAGATTAACTACATAAGGCTTCTTCCAACATGATGAGTGTGGAATCCCTGCTGTCTGAAATTGATACATTCTAGACATGGATTTGTCCATCTTGTCTACCAAGTTTCTGCCAGCAACATCATCTGTCAACTGACCAAATGCTTCACTCTCTGTCACTATAATTCATGTAACATTGGTTCTGACTAGAGATCTTATTTTACAGCAGAATGATTAGGACCTCAGACTGATGCATTTAGGAGACATTAATATTTCCAACTAGAAGCAGATGGCTTTATACAAAAGTGAAATGACTTATTAAAGATTTAGTTTTGGTTCCTGTATTAGAAGATATGGCACAAAATTAGGATGACATCTTGTAGAATGCAACATATGCCATAAAATAGCATCTAATACATAGTGTTTCTTCAGCCATGGCCAGAAATATGAGCTTAGGAACCAGGAAATGAAATGGGAGTGGTACTTCTCACTTTTCCCTTAATGGCTCACTAACATGAATTTAAGTTCACATCTTTGCCACTTTCAACTGCTTTGGTTTAAGGATCTTGATACTCAAGGGAGGAATACTTCCACCAAGAGCGCAGCAGTGTCTCAAGCCATTTGACGGAGCAGACAAGGGGATTACCATGTTGGCTGTGGGGTTAAGCAAGATTAGAAAGGAATAATTACTGTTATGCAATGGAAACACAAAAGAGTTCCTCTAACTCAAGAATTTCAATAGGATATTTCTTAACATTTCCATGTCTATTAGTAAAAATTAATGGAAAATTAGAGTAGCCTCATACAAGAAGAGCCAGCAGGGGCTCAATTCCCAGTGAATGGAATTTGGGTCTACTCAATAGGTAAGAAATTCAGCTAACTGAGTCACCACTGACCTAAAGATAAAAGTAATATGGACTAGTTAGTTGTTGATGAGGAAAGTTATTCACATCAAATAAAGACCATTTACTTTATAATATTGGATTCCCAGGTATCGCTACTGGTAAAGAACCCACCTGCCAATGCAGAAGACATAAGAGACGTGGGTTCGATCCCTTGGCCGGAAAGACCTCCTGGAGGAGGGCATGGCAACCCACTCCAGTATTCTTGCATGGAGAATCCCATGGACAGAGGAGCCTGGAGGTCTACAGTCCACAGGGTCACAAACAGCTGGACAGGGCTGAGCGACTGAACAACAAAACTGCAAACACCAAGGTAGGATTAAGGAAACATATGTAGTGATGACTACATATATTAGACCTAGAAAAGATTGTATTAAATTAAAACATTGTACTAAATAAAAAAGATCATGCTAAATACTCTCCTCATCTAGGGAGAGAATGAGTTTATTTGTGTGAGAGATTATTACTTCATTAAGTGGGAATACAGTTTTTATTGCTATTGTTTTAAGTTTGGAAAATGGATGTATGTCCAGATAAAGGGTAACATCTGTCTTTTGCAGCTGTTCAAAATATTTTAAATACACTTCTCGTTTTTAATTGTTTTCTGTTTTGTCAACCTTGTTTTCCCCAGGTGGAATCCCCCAAACTACGTCTTCGCAGACTCTTGTACAAATGGTGCAAGCGGTTTTCTGATTTCCGTCCTATGGAAAACTAGTGTCTGAATGAGGAGTTCATTTTTTCATAGTGTGAATAGCCCCAGAGGTACAGGGCGTGATGGGGGATTCCTCTCTCATCCGTGAGATATGATTTTGGAGTGGCAGATCTGTGGAGTGGTTCTAGAGTCAGTGGTGGTGACAAATGACAGCTCCCTCATTAATCCAGTTTTGTGTGTGCCTAGAGGTCTTGTTCCTGGAAGCTTTATCCATTTCTCCAACTCTCCCAATTGCCCTGTATAGGGGATCATACAGTTTGCCATTTGAACTAGGACACATCTGGGAATAGAAGGGGCTGCTATTGATAATGTCAAGGATAAACTAGAACTGCATGCAACAGTTAGTAAGTCTAACACACAGTAACACTAATATTGTAATTTAGTTAATACATTTTGCTGTTTAAATTACAATAGACTTGCTTGTTCTTTACTAAGAATCCTAGCCAAAATACCATTAAGTTTTTAGGATTATAGAATTAGTCAACACTATAAGTAGACTCTGTGTACTATATTGTGCCTATAATACAGGGGAGAATAGTCTTTCTACAATTCTATTATAAAGCAAATTCTGACTAATTCAAATTCATAGAATCTATTATATCAATACTAGTTTACAAGGTAGCCATATGCCTGCTGCCTAAAGAACCATGACTTATACTGATGTTATATGTAGTCAATGAAGCCTAGGGAATGGAAACAAAGTACAGTCATCCCTTGGTGTCTGCAAGGGACTGGTTCCAGGAACCCCCATGAATACCAAATCCACAGATGCTCACAACCCTCATATAAAATGGCATAGTGTTTGCATATACTCAATAGCACATCCTCCCATATAGTAATACTTTAAATCATGGCTGGATTGCTTCTTATAATACTTAATACAATGTAAGTTCTATGGAAATAGTTACTAGCACATGGCTAATTCAACTTTTGCCTTTTGGAAATTTCCAGAATTTTTTTTCCCAAATATTTTCAATCCACAGTTGGTTGAATCCCCAGATGCAGAATCCAAGGATATGAAGAAATAGAAAGGGCCAACCATATCTTGTCATGATTCTTTTATAAACAGTGATTCATTGACACACAGGCACGTCAAGGATGCTAAATGCAGCATTACTATGACAGAACATATACTTTAAGAAATCTTTAAGTTAGTGTCCATGTTAAAATTATCATCATGTAATTTCTCTGTAAGTTGTTATCTAATGCTATAGATATATAGCTGTATTCATATTGTTCTCTGCTATAAATGTTTGTACTATAATACTATTAATGCCAGAAACCTAAGAATAAACAAATATCAGTCTCATTCATCATTCCAATGTCTTCATTCAAACAGCTTGGTCATTAAGTGAACAGTTATTGATACCTATACTTTGTTTATTCACTCAGCAATTCACATAGGCACTAGGCTGGTAGCTGAGAAAACAGTGATGAGCAAAAAAAAAAAAAACCCATAAAAGACGTGATCTTGGAGACAAGAGCCTACTAGTCTCAAAAAGGAAGTGGAGTCATCAAACAATAATACAAATGAATATAGGGTTACAAACCATAGTGAGTGCTATGCAGGAAATGCATAAAGTGTTCTGGGACATGGGCTATGCAGAGAGGTTATGCAAGGGAGATCTACTGGAGGAAGTGGTTATTTGAACGGACGCCTGGAAGTGACAAAATGATAACTAAGTGTGGGAGTTAGTGTAGGAGAAGAGGCTGCTCTAGAGGCAGAGAAAAGCATGTGAAAATCTATGAAGCGAAACTGGGCATGGATTTCACTTCAAAGCACAGGAAGAAGACCTGTGCAGCTGGAGCTAAGAGCAGAAAGAGTGAGACCACAGTCAACTCTAGAGGCAGCTGCAACAACCCAAGGCCCCGAAGAAGCAAAAAAGAAGAGGCCTTTGCCCAGTCCTCTCCCCAGCTCTCGGGAAATGGGCAGGTCAGTGACAACTTGCAACAAAATACCAAGGACAAAAACTAGGGTCTGAGAGGATAACTAGTGCAGGAAGTCTACCTGTAACTGTAAAAAAAAACAAGCATGGAGGTGTGAAGAGAGGAATCCAGACCAAACCAAAATTCTTATGGGAAAGCCATTAGGAGACCAGACACCAGCTCATCAACATCACAGACAAAGAGGACATGGTAAAGAAAGACATCAGATGGAACGCAGATGAAACACCTATCCTTTCTCTCCCAAATGTCATAGTTTACATTTTTTTCCCCAGTTTTTACTTATAAAGGATAAATGTGCTAAAAAAAAAATGAAACATCACCTAACCAGAAGTTTGAGAAAGAGACAAAGTGTATGGGAAACTGAAGGGAAATAAGGACCAATAAAACAAGAGCAAACAAACAAAAACCCCACCCAGCCTAAAACACAAATAAGAGAAAAGTACTTGCATGAATTTGTATTTTATAATAATTGTCTATAGTGACAATTCCCATTAATGGGGGTTTTATTTTCGCTGCAGTTTTTTAATATACTTATAATATGGTGCCTTATGTGTGCATTAGTTGAACAGTTTCAGGAGGCCAGGCACTGTCAGGAGAGTAGGATACCTGGAAAATCAGTCCTGGGCAATTGAGCTCCGATTCATCCGTTCTTACAGTAAGCACTCAGGAATGTGCCAGGGTGGTCACGAGTTAGTTTGCATCTGGTGAACATTAGAAAGATAACCAAAGTCTCCATAGCAGTGAAGAGTGATCAAGAGGCGGTGAAAAACCTCTGAGCGATGGCAAGAAAGATTTCTTAAAAACCCTTAAGGGTTCTCTCAGCCAACAGATGATGCTACCAGGTAAGACACCCCAGTGGGAGATGACAGTCAGGTAAGTCTTCCCTCCCACAGGGAGACTGTGATTGGGCCCTGCAGAGCTGTTCGGTGGTAGCACCTTATATCTTTTCTATTTCCATTTAAGGAAGTTGCATTATATACCTGAAGCTTTACTCTCTCCCAGTCAACACAAGCATCTTTATAAAAACTGTATTGCTATCTATTTCTTTAAAAAATGGAATAAATAAAAAATTATCTTTGAGAAGTCCTTGAGAAAAGGCCACATTGCAATCAAAGTATCTCTTAAGCATCCAGCACAAGTGATTTTCCTCAACATTGGAACAGACATATTTCTTTGGTTAAACACTGAAAAAAGGCTTGGCTTACATTTAGAAACCATGCTATGAAGGTACAAATCTATAGCTTTAATCATATGGTCATACTGAATGTGGTGAATGCTTTTACTACAAGAGGCACCTCGATTCTAAATGTGATGGAAATAACAGCAGTTTCACATCTCCCATCTGAGATTTGCTCCTTCTGGGACAAAACTGACTGAATAGAATGACAGGCAAAAATCATCCACCATATTTAAATTCTTGTTTTTCGTTATGTTTTCCCTACAATGTAATTTAATTATGGAAAATTACGTATGACTACAATCCTACCATAAAAGTAAGAGCCATGTCAGATATACTTTAGGTTTGTGTGCAAGCTACATGCTAAATCATGTCCGACTCTTTGTGATCCTCTGGACTGCAGCCTGCCAGGCTCCTCTGTCCATGGTGATTCTCCAGGCAAGAATACTGGAGTGGGTTGCCATTTCTTTCTCTAAGGCATATTCCCCACCCAGGGATCAAACCCAATTCTCCTTCATCTCATTCATTGGCATGCAGACTCTTTACCACTGTACCACCTAGGAAGCCCACTTTAAGTTTAGAGGCAACAAAAATGATAAGTAGCCTAGGCACAATTGTCAGAGCAATTCATTAAGAAGCAGCCTTTGGATAAGCAACATAAGTCAGAACTTTTCCTCTTCCTCTGAAAGTAGTAAAGGGTGCTAATGCTGTTTCCCCCAAAAAGCAAACAATTCACCTGGAGTAGGAGTGTGATGAGTGTTGGAACTGGAGAAAGAAGAGCAGTGAGGAAACTGCAAAGCTCCATATTGATAGGAGAGAGAAAAAAGAAAAAAGATAAATCAAGCACTTGTCTCCAGGACAAATTGTTAAGATAATTGTTCTCTAAAGTGAGTTTTCTGACACAAGAAAATCTAACTGGGACCAGAAAAGCAGTGAAGAATACTGGATCATTTAAGATCCAAATGAATGATAGGGAACCCTGCCCCCACATCCAAAATCAAGCTATTCACAGATTCTACCCAGATACATATCCTATTCAATCCTGAAAGAATATTGAGAATCACTAAATATTTGTGAAGGTAACTAGCAAAAATCAAACTAAGGAAAATTACTGTTCAAATAAGCAATCTTGTAGTTTATATATGTCTCTACCAACATTCCAG